CAGAGGTTTTACTACATAACTTACGAACTTGGGAAAACTCAACGACCGATTTACCTCAGAAGATAAAGTTGCTTTTGAACAGATTCACCTGAAAACCAGAAACCAAGTCGTTAGACCAAAAAATATTACTACTTTTGTATGAAGAATTCAATAACTACCTGGTAATTTCTGTGTGTTCCTTATGCTTTTAAACATCACACTTGACAAATTGAACAAAAGGAATATGTTGGACTTTGAAGTAATCTTGTCCTCCTTCAAACAATTTTTCTGCCCATTCCCTCTTCATTCCTTTTATAGTAAGTTCCTTCAAGGAAGTTATGTACCTTAGCCCATACGGAAGCTCCTTCAACTTTTTGCATTCATTTATAGTTAAAGCACGAAGACATGGCATCGACCCTTCTTCAACTATCCACTCTTCCAAGTTGTCTAGTTTCGAAAATTCTAGCCCACACAATTGCGGAAACCCGCCATTGGAACAGACCATTCGCCTCCCGGCGAAAGCAAACTGTGATAACTCAACCGTCTTCAAGTGAAACAACTTCTCTAGAATCGGCATTGGATCCTCCTCTATGTGGCAAAACTGAAGAAATATGTGTTTAAGGTGCGGAGGGAATCGATGTTGATCTGACAACCTTGGCATATGTATGCCCAACATTAATACTTTGAGATGAATGAAACCTTGAATGAATTCTCCAACATCAGCCACACGGCGAGTGACGTGCATGACATCAAATAAACCAAGACATTGTAGGTCTCTCAATTCAGACAGATACGAAGATAGAGTTTCCAATGTACACTCATCATGGAAATAGACTACAAGATTCTGGAGTCTAGTCATATGGAGTAGGTCTGTGATACTACTCTGCTTTGTCGAGAAATGCCACAAGCACTCCAGCTTCACTAGATTTCCCAGTTCCAACTTTGTACTATCAGGCATTTTATACGGTAGAGTAACGTACCTCAACTCTAGCATCTCTTTCAAAACATTTGGCACATGAAGTGATACCCCAAAACCAATATATAAGTTCAAATAGAGAAGAAGCTTTAGATTCCCTAAGGAAGAAGGTAGATGAGATACCTCGGACTCGAACAAGCTCAAAAATCTCAAGTGGATGAGCTCTCCGATGCTGGAAGGTAGCTTCCCTCCTTCAAATTTAACTCTAGAAAGATCTAACACCCTGAGCAATGGTAAACTCTTGAAGCATTGAGCTGGTTGTATGCAAAAGTTTTCATCGACTCCAAAACACAAGAGAGCTCTGACTTTTGGATTGCATTTTTGTTCTAGCATCTGAAATGCACTACCACTATGTACACCGAGTCTACGAGATCTACTAGGAGATTGAACATTGATGGTAGAGATTGTGGTAGGGGCTTTGACAATTTGTAGGAAGTTCTCTTCTTCGGCTTTAGATAAACATACTTCTCTCATGATGTCATGCATATGACATTTTTCAAATTTAGAAGTCTCATACCTTGTTTCAGCAATAACCATATTTCTTCTCACAAGCTCTTCTAGGTAGCCTTCTGCGCTATCTCGAACGGTTGCTCCAGGGTAAGATGGCATTATCATTCCTTCTGCAGCCCAGTAATAGAACAATGTGTCCACATATACCTCGTAGTCTTCAGGAAAATGGGCTAGGTAAAGGAAGCAATGTTGTAAACACATTGGCAAATCTTCATAGCTCAAAGACAATACTCGGTAAACCGAACTAGGATTGTTCGCATCTAAGCAAGATCCTCGTATGATCTGATTTCTAATATTGTCATATACTCTTTTCCACTCGGGAACTGTATGTTTTGTAGCTAACAACCCTCCTAGCACTTTAACCGCTAACGGTAAGCCTCCACAGAATGTGATCATATTCTTACCCATGGCTTCTAGTTCTTCACCAACCCTAAATCCTACAAACCATCACAATGTAGTAATATCTTTCAAGATTTGGCCTTA